CATTCATTCATTCATTCATTCATTCATTCATTCATTCATTCATTCATTCTATTTGTATCCCACCTACCTGGCCATTGTGACCACTCTAGACTCTATGTTCCTTAATGTTTTAGAAAGTCTCCCAAACTTCTGAAACAGATGCTACAGAAGGAAGAGTAAAATCAATAAAAAAAGGATTCTATTCATCAGGGTCTGAGAAAGTTGACCTTTGTGACTATAACTCCCAGAATTCCCCAGACAGGATAAAACAAATAAAATTTCCAAACTTGCTCAACATTCACACCCACATACAGTAATGAAGGGCCATAAAGTTTAGGTTACTCAAACAGTGAGGTACTATGGCATCAACAAATACTTCTGATTGGCTGCTGAATCTATAATTTATGTACACGTAAACCAAGCATCGCATGACACTATCTAGTTGTAAAACAGGTAAAGCAGCAACATGTTCTACATGTTGAACTTTAAAGGTTAAAAACCCTTGAAGAACAAAGGAAATAATACGATGGGCCTTCACTTCATCACCAGTCCAGCAGTGCTACCTCAAACCTTCCTATTAAGAGGTTATAAAAAGTCCGATGATATCCAGGTGTGTGAGAAATTCAGAAGTGGAATTAAGCAAGCATCTCCACCTCCATAATGGTTTCAGCCTTTCCTGCTTTCAGGCTATAACTAGGCTATAGATGATAGTTTATGCTGTGGGTTCAAGAAAGTTGATTGAAATGCACAGGCAATCTGTTATTAGGATATGGTATAGGTTTTATCTAGATTAATGGTTCCCAACCTTGGATAACCCAGGTGTTCTTGGACTGCAACTCCCAGAAACCCCAGCCAGCACAGCTAATGGTGAAGGCTTCTGGGAATTGCAGTCCAAGAACACCTGGAATGCCCAAGGTTGGGAACCACTGATCTAGATCAGTGGTTCTTAACCTTTGTTACTTGGATGTTTTTGAACTGCAACTCCCAGAAACCCCAGCCAGCACAGTTGGTGGTGAAGGCTTCTGGGAGTTGCAGTCCAAAACTCCTGAGTAACCCAAGGTTAAGAACCAGTGATCTAGATCATGCATAATGCTTTTTTGGAGGATCAAGTACAGATTAGCTTACTTGTTCCTCAACTTTTCCCACCGCCTATTGGTGGAATGGAGCTTGTGGATAAACAGTGGTCTATAGACCACAGTTTCAGAATCTCCCCTTTAGATGATAACTATGTTTATGTGCATATGTATTTTCATTTAGTATTCATGAAGTGATGAGCATCATGATTATCTTGGAGCAAGTAAGAGGGTTGATTTATCTAGCTCAGCGCTGCACACAGTAACCAATTCCTGTTCATTTCTTTTCCATATATTTAAGAATTATTACCAAGGGGGGGGGAAGTGAGCACCTGAGCAAGTTTGTTGTGTAATTTGTTTCTTTATATATTTGTTACAAAAAAGCCTCAGAGCAACCTCAAGAGATCAGACAGTAAACAGTCTATCTTCCCCTTTTCAAAATGTTGACTTTCCAGCTTCTGCAGGTAAATGCTCTTTTCCTCTGTGACACTTACGTTGAAAAGCAATCTGAAATAACTCACAGGGCAGGCAATTGAATCAATGTTGCTGACTAAAACAGATTTAGTGACTGCAGAACCAGAACAAGGGTCAGAATTCTGTGACAACAAAGGGTCAGGGAATTCTTGGGAATCCATAAGAGTATGCTGACTCCTACATGAAAACGATACAAGGGTGGTTCTTCAAATTGGTTTATTACACTTATTATAGTTATAGAGCTAAGGCTCATTCTGCCATGAGACAGGCTAAGGTAGATACCACAAGTGGCAGGTTCTCAGTGTCATGAGAAGGCAGCAAAAGTGTGCCTTAATTAGTTTGATTTTTTTAGTACTGGGAGAAGAGAGAGGTGCTCCAGGGCTTTTATGTCTCATATGCCAACTAAGATGGCTGGCATGTGGCACTATGCATCTTGACCTGTATGGTGCCATTGACTGTTTTGCTTCAACACACTGGCCAAACAAGGAAACAAACATTTAATCCCCCTCACCCCCAAAACCCAGGCAAAATGGTATGACACACTGAAGATTAACAGATTTCAATGTAAGGCTTCAGGGATCAACATCGTCCTCTTCAGACATAAGTAATGTATATACTGTACTATGTCCTCTATATTTATACATATCCCCACAGTAGTGAGTATCATGATCAGGCGAAGATACAAGTAATAGATGAAGTGACAATACTTTGTTAACACAGGAGTGGAACTACCAGCTGGTTAATTATTTGAGATTACAGACCCAGGCAGGGATGATAAGCTGCACAACAATTACAGAAATGCTAATTGTTGTTTTGGAGGCAGAGGTCAAAGTCTGTTAAGTGAGACAGTTATTTTATGCACATATACAGAAAGCTGGATTATTAATATACCGGTATGTAGTGGGCTAAGAGGCCTTGGTATCTGTTTATATCTCTAAAGATGCACTCGAACATATTTATGGAGCCAGTTTCTGCTAAAAAAAAACCTTTATTTGGTGTTTTTATACACAAACTGTAGTAAAAGTTATCACTAGAGGAGAGCTTTGTCCAAAGGAACCACAGGTTTGAATCTGCAAGAGCTGAGCAGAGTTGTTTGAGGTCTTCTGGAGATTGCTTATTTGTAGGGTTGCCATAAGTTGGCGGTGACTTGGTGACAAATAACGAAAACAATTCTATTAAGGATCAATCAATAATCTATCATTACTATGTTGAAATTATGAGTTGTGGAAACTAATGATATTAGTTTGTTAATTTTTTTTTTAAAAAAATCCCCCCTCTCTCAAGTAAGTCATCTTGAGTAACATTTAAATGAGGTGAAACTGTGAGGTATACATGTTTTGTTACAAGATCAACATTTTCATATTTGAATTCTTAAGACCTTTGGATGCATGCCTTCTTGATTCTGGGAGTGACTGTTATGTTCCACAATATGTTGCTTAGATCTTATTACCTTGTAATATTGTCATCCTATACACATATTTTTCTAAGTCAGGAGGTGAGGCTGAGGAGCCTAACGCCGAGGGAGGCCCGGAAGGAGAAGACAAGAAATCGGGCCTTTTCAGCGGTGGCTCCTCGCCTCTGGAACAATCTACCTCCTGGGATTCGTGGAGCATGATATTAGTTTGTTAATTTTTTTTTTAAAAAAATCCCCCCTCTCTCAAGTAAGTCATCTTGAGTAACATTTAAATGAGGTGAAACTGTGAGGTATACATGTTTTGTTACAAGATCAACATTTTCATATTTGAATTCTTAAGACCTTTGGATGCATGCCTTCTTGATTCTGGGAATGACTGTTATGTCCCACAATACGTTGCTTAGATCTTATTACCTTGTAATATTGTCACCCTATACACATATTTTTCTAAACTGTATTTCCTAATTTGGGCAAGAATTCAACTTTAAAAAAAAGCTTTTCAAAAAGGTTCTTGACTCTGTAGATGATTCTTTCTGCCACCTTCTTAGGCTTATTTGCACCTTCCCAGATACATTTTGATGGGCAGTTCTTTTATTAGAATTCCAAGTATTCTCAAGATCCTGTCCCTTTACTAACACCCACAAGTTCCCATTTTCCCTCTTTCAATTGCTGTATATGTGTCTGTACTGGACATTCAACTTATATATGTACTTAATGTGGTAGTATCACATCATGGTTTCTCTCTCTGTTCTGTTTGGGATCCAGGATCATCAATGGAGTCAAATAGTCATTTTATTATCTCTAAATATCTTTTGAAAGTCCCCATTGTGAGATTATTCCTCTGTGGTTTTCAGTTTCATTGGATTCTCAGGCATCTAATTCAGCTCCTCCTCCACATAGTATTCCTTCTTGCTATAGCCTGTACATCCCATGCTCATTAAACCCTACACATTCTCAATGTCCATCAATGTTTCAAGTATGCTCCTGTTATATTTCATCTAGTTCTCCACTTTGGCTTGGAGCCTCTACCTTGTACCTTTTTCCTAATGTTCTTCTCATATGCTGTTTTTACTTGGTTCCTAGTCCCTGCCAATGGCTATCATATCTTTTGTTTCTCTTTGCTGCCAGAAAATTTCTACCCCATTCTCTGCACCCCCCATCCATGGAGGGACCCAAAACATTTTCATCATCCTCTGTTGTCATCTCCAGCTGTTTCCTATAATGTGTGGCTTTAAGAAAACTCCCTGTATTGCCAAGCAATTAAACAGCATTGCTTGCTGAAGCCCTTCTGGAGAACCTATATTGTATGCTTTGGAGAACTAATCCTGACCAGCCTAATTTCCATGGACAGATGCAAGCGATCCAGTGCCATCTTCCATTTAATAACTGGAGACTAACGTGTCACAATGAGCAATAGGGCAGAAAACCACCATCCTACCAGCTGTGAATAAAAATCTTCACATTATGCTGTTTATCCATTTCTGTCCAGTATACCACAGCTTTTTATCGCAGCCATTAATCTCTGTGGCAGTGGGAGAACATTTTCAAGTGCTTATTGAAAATGTCAGTATATTTCACTCCGCTGAATTTCTTGTGTGCAGGATGGCAAGGAACACAAAACAGGTGAGCTATGTATGACTTGCCTTGTCTGATTTCCTTTATTATCCACAGTGCTTTATTTAATTAAAAAAATCTTCTATGTTTTTTTCCACGTGATGTTAAGATCTTTTTCATAATGGTTCCTAACTTCCTTGCAGTCTTGATTTTTCACTCTTTAAATAAAAGTAAACAAATGTATTTGTGATTTTTTTCAATCCATCCTAAAACTGCCGAATGTTTATAAAACATAATTTAAAGGTTCACTAGATGCCTTTCCTTTTTCTATAGTGTTTGCTGTATATATAAGATCTGGCTGTTACTTGCTTTCGAAGAATAAGTTTCTAATATATGTAACAATGGCTTGAAATCCAGTACTAAATTGCAATTCGAGGAGGTCCCTTGAATCCTGGAACTTTCAGAGGAATTGACTCACCAGACACCCACGGATTCAAATGGTCTACTCCAGTTGCAACTCACACGTTCTCTTCCCCCCACCTTTTCTCCCCCTTTGCACATAGCAATTCCAACATCTGATTCTTTTTCCCCATGACCCTTGTTTGCAGCCAGTGGCAACTCATTGCTGACCTACTCAGCCACCCAGTAAATGATGGTTTGCTGGAAACAGGGGAACCACTAATCCCAAGACTCACTCATGTAATGCCAAATCCTGTTTTGACCATGTCTTAGGTACTTTCAGAGTAATTGGCACTTCTCTGTTCACACAAATGTGTTCACAATTCCCTAAACCTCTCAGCTACCACTGGTGGATATAATGCAAATGTCTCCCAAAGTAATTATTGTCCCAGTTACATTTTAAAAGTAATGCTTTACTTTATGACTTTCCAAAAGTAATGAAAACAATTTGCACTTGGTTACTTAAAAGAAACACTAGACACTGTTACAAGTCCGCCATACAGAGCATGTTACCATAGTCTTTCGAGACCGAATGATGCCTACATTTAAAATTAAAAACTCGTGTAAACGCTAGAAGCCACTGGACTGTGTGGCAACGCATGATCTCCTTGTTAACTTTGTCACCAGCTCACAACCCAGAACAGTGCGAGGTAGCAGCACAAAGTAACACTTGAATCATGTGCTCCTCCAGCATTTAGTAAGTCACATTCCTGTCACTGTAGACCAATATGTCATGGTTGCATCACAAACACAGATGTCATGCCTTGTTCCATTACTGTGTTACTGTAATATAGTTATACCTTTGATATGAGGAAAGGAACTAGAAATAGCTAGTCATTTTTGTGGATTTTACAAATGTATTTTCTCTGCCTTGTTTCTTTGCCCTTTGTTTGTGATGATTTTACTTTTGTTGCTGTTCGAAGCCATGAGCAATATTTGAAGGAAAGGTGGGGACCAATTTTTAAAAAATAAGTATGAAATTTTTGACATATACCCTGATCAGAATCCTCTTGAGCTGACACCATGTAAACTACGTAAGTAGAGTGCACAGTCGTTACAGTGGTCTATCACATGTTTAGACATATCCAGGTGACGTGCTTGGTTGTTTGTCCAGCTGCATAACAGATAGCTAGAAAATTGTGAAAAACCACTTGTGTAATTTCCATTATACACACAATATTTCACAATCAAATTCGAATTAATATATCACAAACAGATTGAGTTAAACAAAAGGGAGATTATTTATTGGTGCTACCCCTGAAAAGGCATTGTCTTGTTTGCACAAGAGGGCATAACAGAAGGCAGACTTCCGAGGCCCATCTTCTGTAACAAAGAAGGACACTGATAATGCATATCAATTCTCATCCAGCATTCTGCAGTGGATATTGTCGCACACCCTCAGTGTCCCGTTTCTTTTCCCACTCACACAGGTTCACCTTTGGACCCAAATTGTTCTTTTCACCCTTTTACGCTGCCACCAGAAGATAATACCCTCCCTGTACCAATTATGAATCTCAGACTATTGCTGCCAAATATAATAAGGTTTATTTGTGGTTTGGTAGATAAATCACAGAAGTAGAATCATGGATGTTCTTTTTATCACTCATGCTACCATGTTCTCAAGACTCACAAAGAGAGTATGGCTGAATAAGAAGTTGAGAGCATATACCAAGATCCAGGTCTATAGAGCCTGTGTCCTGAGCACAATCCTGTACTGCAGTGAGTCCTGGACCCTTTGTGCATGGCAGGAGAGGAAGCCGAACACGTTCGATATGCAATGTCTTCGACGAATTTTTGGTATCACCTGGAAGGACAAAATTCCAAACAGAGTAGACCTAGATTGAGCTGGAATCTTCAGCATGTATACATTACTGAAACAGCAACGTCTATGTTGGCTTGGGCATGTTGTGAGAATGGCTGATAGTCAGATTCCAGAAGATCTCCTGTATGGAGAATTAGTGGACGGAAATCGCCCCAGAGGGAGACCACAGCTACGATGCAAAGACATCTGCAAGCGGGATCTGAAGGCCTTAGGAATAGACCTCAACAGATGGGAAACCTTGACATCTGGCTGTTCAGCCTGGAGGCAGGCGTTGCATCACGGCCTCTCCTAATTTGAAGAGACCCTTGTCAAGCAGGCCTAGGCAAAGAGGAAGTCACAAAAGCAGCAAAATCAGGGAGCTGAACAGGGTACAGATTGTATTGGTCTTCAGTGTGGAAGGGATTGTCACTTTTGAATTAGCCTTTTCAGCCACACTAGACGCTGTTCCAAGTCCTCTATTCAGAACACGTTACTATAGTCTCTTGAGACTGAAGGATACCTAAGAAGATTACATATACTCTTGCTTGTATTCATTCACTTTAATCAAGGTGTCAACGTATTCTGACTGTCTATGTATTTCTTATTACTTTTCTCTGTTTTATTCTCTAACGCACCAACTTTCCAATCTCTGGTCTAAACACCTCACAGTCTTTTTCCTAACTGACTCTCTGTCTTCCCCAGTTCTGCTGACTCCGCCCCTCCTGTCCTCTCATAGGCTCCTGCACTAGAGCTCTAAAATGACTGGCAGGAGTGAAGTGTGGGCTGTCCACCACAGATGTCAATTATACCGACATTATCATAGTTTGGGTTTACTTCTTTGGATTAAAACTCCCAGAATTCTTCAGCTGGTGTGGCCATTCGTAGGCTCCTAAGGTAACGTGGCTGAGCTCTAGGCATTACATGGTCTAGCTATGCTATATTTCCTGACATAGTATTGTAAAAACATTTAAAACATGGGAAAATGAAAGATATGCAATTCAAATGCAGGAGGCAATGAACACAAGCCAAGCACTATAACAAACTCTGTTAGAAGGATGCACAGAGCTTTATTGTCTTGAATGCTTTTATAATAATTCATAGAACAGCTTCCCTCCCATGCTAGCACTTGAGTGTATTCTGCTTCATACGGTGTCTACACTATTGCCTCTCTATTCATTCATGAAGTGTTTAAACAACATTGTTGAAATATAAAACTAAAGCTCCTTTCTTCTCTGGTGTCTTCTTTTTCTTGAAGACAGCTGTTTTGATGGTATATTTTTTCAATACTCATTTCCTGATGAAAATTATTCTTCATTTTAAAATGAAATAAGGTTTCAGAATCCTTTTTACAAAATTTGCCCCCATACTTTCAGAAAAGAAAAAGAAAAGAAAAAAGGCCTCGGAAAAAGAAAAGGAAAAATAAAACGTTCTCCCTCCATATCATTTTTCTCTGGTTGTGTTCCAGGCCTTCAAATCTCTACCTAAGAATGCTTAACAGCATTTGATTGTGAACCACATGTGAGTATTTAATTTTTCTTAACATTGTATTTTTCTTTGTTTTCGTGAGCAGTTTTAATGTGTACGAGCCAGACATTTGTTTCTCAGAAAGGCTCTGGAATTCAGAATTATTTTTCATTTTTCTCATAAGCCTTTCAAGATCGGATCTCTGCTGCAGGATTTTAAATCTTTGCTTGTCTCATTGTCCCATACAAGGTCAAAGAATTACTCTTTTTTTGGTTGCGTGAACTCCATGGCTTGTGAGATGATGAGATACTTCTGCTGCTATTTGCTCCATGGGTTTTCAGAAATCTTGTAACTTTTCCAAACTGCTGAACGTGTGCAAGTGGTGCAAAATGTGATAGCAGTTATGTTTCCATTTGATGCAGTGGATGGGTTCTTTACATCTTTTTTTTAACAATCAGCTAGGGTTTTTTTTTGTCCACTCTCTCTTTCCTGTGCTTTGCTTCCTAGAGGGAAAAGACCTGCACAGACTGTCGTAAAGATGTATGTAAATTGCAAACATTTTGTCAGTGAGAAAATAATTCCTCTTTTTGAGGAGTCAAGGAACATAGCAGAGTTTGAAAATCCCTTGCATAGGAGGTTCATTCTGTTGACCTGACCTAAACTGATAAGAACGAGGAATTAGGTGAGTAGTCTTTCTACTCCTGGTCTGCAGCTGTGAATAATAGTTCATCTACTGAATGTCTAGGTGCTAATCTCTCAGAAACTATGGTGCCCCAAAACATGTCTTTCATATACTAACCTATACAGACTTCAATTAAAACAGTCAAAGAAAAGAAGTTAATAAAAGTGTGCAAAACAGGCAATTATACAAGGCAAGAAATGTAGCAATTTAAATTGTGGAGAACTATCAGTTTGTGGGGTACAGGCAACATCAGTGTAATCAATATATCACCCTAATGACAAAAACATACATGTAGTGTACTCTGGAGATGAAAGAAACAAGAGCATTTGATGGATTGGACAATTGTAGATAAATATGGCAGTAAAGATTTCCTGGAGTCAGACCGCATATGGCAAGTTCTCAAAATACCGTTAGTTTCTTAATATGCTTTTGCAGGTATATCGGATGCACACCTTGGAAACTTTTTTAAAAAAATATTCCTCCCGTAATCGTTCACTCAGCATTTTCATTGGCTATGCTGGCTCAGTGTTATTGTCATCGTGGTCCTCAAGATTGACATTTCTAAGCTCTGATCTAGTGCATGAAAACATCTCAGTGACCATTGTTTCCATCATTTATCTTAACAGTTTTGTGATGTTATGAAAATCTGCAACAAGTTTGACTTATCTGTAAACTATATTTTGGTTAATTTTATCTGTTCCATTCATTTTTCAGACTGTTGACCATTGGATTCAGCTCATTTTGATCAAGAGCTCAGGAGAGCTTTACTTTTTTGAACTGTTTATTCACCCATATCAGAACCCAAGGATGAAGGGTGCAAAATCTATTGAAGCCAGGCCTTTTTGCATGTGTAGCTCTCTTGCTTTGCACACAAGTTTATTTGATCCAGCTTAGCTTCATGGAAACATATTAGTCTGCTATGAATGAAACTAATGTGTGATTTTTTTACATATTCCTACATTCAGTCCCAGGTGCCCACTTTAAAGCTTGCATGGGGCTGTAGTTTCAGATTTAGATATACAGATTTCATGCTTACTGGGCATGAAAATAAATGATTTAAATACTACTACGATCTTCCTTTAATAGGAACAATCAAATTTGTGTTTTTTGACATTTTTATTGTTTCAAACCCTGTGTGATTTAGCACTGATGCCATCAATACCTATCTTTTCCCACAGGAGTTTGTGTATCTAGTTTCCCCTCCATGTTTTTAAAATTAAGAGTGTTAGGAATCTGGCTTTAAGTCTGTCTTCACTGGTCTGTCATGCAAATGCTTATATAAATACAGATTCTAACTGCAACTCTATCAGCACTTCCCTCACTGCATTCAATGAAGATTACACCCAGCAGATATAAATGGGATCACATTGTATTAAAATGAGAAGGGCATTTTTTGACATATTGAAGAGCAGAAAATCAGAATATGTAACGTTGCTTCCAAAAAAGCAACTTTTTCATTAGAAGCTCTGAAAAGTAACTCACTGGTGTTACCGTTTAAGGAGACCTCAGATAAGCCCTTTGGAGTTGGAACAAATTGGACTAGGAGGTTAGAGCAGTGGTTCTTAACCTTGGGTTACTCAGGTGTTTTTGAACTGCAACTCCCAGAAACCCCAGCCAGCACAGCTGGTGGTGAAGGCTTCTGGGAGTTGCAGTCCAAAAACACCTGAGTAACCCAAGGTTAAGAACCAATGGGTTAGAGTAAGGCAAAGCTATACTGTAATGGAGAAATCATTACTTTATGGAGGTATAATATGTAATGCTCTATAGACTATAGCAGTGTAACACTCTAGACTTCTAGTATGATGTAGCAATTGTCCAGGATCCCGGGTTTATCTAAATGAGATCTTTTTGAAAAAGTTTTTTAAAAATCTGAATACTAATCCTTTGGCTACCTAGCATAAGTACATGATAATGGTTCTTCTAGGGCTGTGTGGTGGCCTAAGCTCAATTCTGAACTCAATGAGGTGTGGATCAAAGTGGAACACCCCTATTTGATACAGTGGTAAAGTGAAGCCATCTGGAGTGTTTCAGACTCACCTGGGAATTTGGACATCTAAAATATCATGAAAGCCTGTCTCCAACAATACCTCTCAACAAGATGGTGTGATAAGAAGGGGACCAGAATTTACGGACAACTGTAACATGAAATCTGAGACAAGAATTTCACTACCATTCTCTACTCACAATACTTATGATAAAGGACTGTGTGGGATCATCAAAGCTAAGTATCTCATGCAATCCTTTGTGCTGCTTTTGCTACGTTGAGCATTGTCTGTTGCAGTGAGAGCAAAAGATTTCTGAGAATGTAGTTGTTTTGATTTTAGTCTGACAAGCTTTTGAGTCATTTTTGTCCTGAGACCTTTTGGCTTGTTAATGTGACTCTAGTAATCTTTTGCAGAATCCTTCCTTTGCCTTTCCAGTTTGTTTATTTGTCAGATCTACTTTCTGCAAATCCCATGTGTTTCAGGTAATGAAATTTATTCTATCCCTCCTGCCCTGTCCCCTGGTTCCATCCTGCCTACTTGCTTGCCCAGGGCCCACTGTGCTATCACTCAATACAACACTTTGACCCCTTCTTCTTCAAATGAATCTGGTGCCATTTTTCAGCTAGGGACCTGGGAGTCTCTGAGAGATCTAGGATGCTCTACTGGAGGGACAGTGAGTGTACAAAGGCAGCATGGATGTGCAAGACTGAGTACATGCTTTTAAGATCTGCATTTTGTTTTTTGAACACTTTAAAGATGTCTGTGATGCAAACCTCTGATGCTGCCTGTCTGAAATTTGGCAGTGTTGTTCCCATCTTAACAGATCTCCCAAGAGCTACAGCAGTTTGGTTTTCCAGTGTGAGTAAGCATGATTTAAATTGGTTTCAGGGCTCACACTGAACTGGAAAAGATCTGGATTTCTCTGGACTGAATCAAGATCTGGTTCAAAGCACTGGATCAGCCTCTGAACGAAGTAGGGGGCCTGATATGTAGCTCCAGTGGGTATTTGCAACAGCTTATTTCTAGGCTCTGCAGAGGAAAGGGCAGAATATTTAATCCCAGGACGTGGAATTTATATAGTACAGGCAGGGCTTCAAATGGCTTCATATACATGGTCTCAAATGCTATTACAGCACTGCAGTCAAACAAACCAGTTGGTTCCTGTCTCAGTTATCAACACCAAGACTGTTGTAGCAGGCTGCCATAGAATGAGATGCAGTGGGTGGAAGAATCATTTCCTCAGTGCTGCTTTAAAAAATACTTCTCCCCCTTCTTTTTTGCCTCCTTCAGCAAACCATATATATATTTTTAGCTAGAGTGACATAATCTTATTTCCATTGGTTGCAGTTATGTTGCTTTGGGAGACTTTTTGGCTGAGAAGTGTGAGGAAAATATTCTAACTTATGAATATACATCCTAATTGTGTGGGTGAGAGGCAGACGCTCAAAGATCAATGGCTAATGCTGACCAAAGATTTGACAGAGCCTTTTGATTGTGGCACATTCCTTTCTATTGTGGGAAAAGGCAGTGAAGTCCACATCTTGGAGCCCAAACATGTTGCTATGATAGTTTTAATAATAATGCATTTATGATACGATACATGTGGCATCTATAATACATGAGGGAAAGGTTCTGGCTCTCTTCATGCTGATCAGCATTAATTCTGTTGTCTACCATCCACTTTAGAAATGCCCATGCCACCAAATTCATTTAACTTAATGAGCTAAATCCACAAAGCAATCGTGCTTGCATGCAGCAATCTTTTCTTTAACGGTCCTTATGTCTGGGCTGCACCTTACGTTACTGTGGGTTTAATGTACCCACATGGGGTAGCTGATTGCAAAAAGCTCTTTGGGTGCTTAAAGAGATTTACGGTTCTGGGAATTTAAGGATACACTTTGGTCCTAAGCAACAATAAACTTTGTTCCCTACATCCAATTAATGTCAAATTCGCTTGCTTTAACCAAGCAGGAGAAGTGCCAATCATGACAGGAGCAGTGTGTGTGGAAGTCTAGAAAGACTGGCAGGCAGTTGACGAGGGCTCATTAAGGGGTGGTTGACTTGACCATAATTTTATATGTTAATCTAATATTGCACTGAAAGGCGAGCCATTGAAATTGGCCTGCTGAAGCTTTTCACAGCCTCCTGTCAGAATCTCTCCTATGGACCCAATTTCCTGGTCCAGCGGGGAGTATTTGTGCTTCGCGTGTTCAATAGCAGTTGCTGAACAAAGAGTATCAATGGAAAATTCACAGGTGGCTCTAATCATGCCAATTAAAGGGAGAGCCCAAAGGCAGCTGGGAAGCCCTCAAATGCACTTTGCTTTTTCAGAGTCATAAGGAGGGTGGCTCAAGGACCCCATAACTGGAATTGCCACTCCTTCAACATGGGTTATATGGGAGCCCTGCAAGAGGCTGCTTGTGCTTCTATAAGCTAGCGAGTATCTCTGGGGATAGGAGAGTATACTGTTGTTTTGTTATGAATGGATCAGTGCAAAGTATTTCCAATTCAAATCATGGCGTTGCCTCTCCTCCCTTCCTGTGGAACCCATAATGGAAGAGCATGAATCTTTTTAGGTGTTGTCTGAGGAAATTAAAAGGAGCAGCAATAGTGAAAAGGAGGACTAGAGAACTACTCCGTTTGGGGAATAAGTAGCTGTCTGGGGAAGGGCTATAGCTCAACTTCAGAGCAGCTGTTTTGCATGCGGTGACTTGCACAACCGTTCCTGGCATCTGTAGGGAGGCTACTCTCATCCGGAACCCAGAAAACCTAATTGCCAGTCCAGGTCAAAGGGATGTTACAGCATATCACATTAGAAACAGAGTCTGCACCATCACGATTTGGGCCAATCCCAGGTAGCCAGCTTGAGATTCACTGGTCTCAGGGATACAGTATTCCTGAGACCAGTAAATTGAGTACCCAGCTCACTGGGTGGTGGCAGCAGCAATGTGTAACATACATAATTAAATTGTAAACTTAATTGTAAAGAGTGCTTTAAGCCCTGTGGGTTGGTATATAAGCATTACACTTTGCTTTAAAGGGTTAAGTGCATTTGTTCTTCCCAGTATGGTTTTGGAGCTCCACATGTTGCAAAGCAGCTTGTTTTCCTTTTGTGACTGCCTGGCTGTGGGAAGATAAGCATAGTCTTTATGTGGAAGCTGTTGGTGCAGACACAGAAACTTCGAAGGTTCCCACCTTTGGACTAAAAATGGTTTATCACTTTCTAACTGCAATGCTATTATTTTGTCTAACTCAGCCATATGGGTAGACAACTTTGTATGCTGTTGTCGTTCAGATTTATACACCATGTTACACAGCAGGCTGGAAATATATGCACAGTTTACACAGTGAAACGAAAAGAACCCAAACAAAGGGATAGGAAAATAAGGTTACTTAAAATGCCTTCTGAGTTCAAAAATTAACTTATAGATAAAATTTCAGTGACATACTGGAATCAAATGTACAACTACTCTGAATTAGCTCAGAAGCTCTATGCTCAGAAGCTTACAGTATGTCAGTGAACATCTTACTTGCTAAATCAGAACATGCGAGCATAAATGTGAATCCATGTGTTTCCCCCAATTAGAGAGATTTCTCCAGAGGCCTCTGCATCTTGGGGGCCATTTACTTTTGGGAAGAGTAGCCTACAGCAGTACTGGCAGGAGCGAGAGCAGAACATCTCCCAAGTTCTATTTAATTTTGTTGGTATACCTCTCTTCAAGATATTTCATATGGTTAAAGACTTTGGCACAGTAGAAATGGGGAAGGAATTTGGTTTGCATTTTAATGGGGATTTACTTAACTCACACATCCTGAAAAAAAAAAAAGCAAACTGAAGCTCAGTGATGTCTCAATATTTGCACTTTTTTGAAGGCTGTGATGCAGTTCCTGGGTTAAAA